TTCCCACTCTTTTCTTTCTGTCTTCTGTGAAGGGTCTACTTCCCCTTGGCACTCCCACTCCCTCCTCCTTTCCTCTGCCACATAAAGTCTTTGTCTGTTGTCATCTGTCTGTCCCCATCCGCTTGCCCAGCAGTCACGAAAGCTGGCAGAGGCAGTGAGGGACAGGGATTGTAGTGGGGTAGGAGAAGAGTTCTTCGAACGTGGCTTCCCAGACAGCCTGTTCCCAGTGTAGCTGATGTCCCTGGCTGGTAGTTGCTCTGCAACTCATCTTTCAGCAGCAGCCTGTGCTCAGGTGCTGAACATCCAGCACTGTCCCCTCTGCGATACCTACACTGGGGTTTTATCTCCAGGCTGCATACAGCAGGAAAAGTCTCCAGCAGAAGGAAGAAAAGGAGATCAGGTCTTCTCACTGCTATCGAAGCTAAGTGGTTGCCCAGAGAGGTAGTGGAGGCCCCATCCCTGGAAACATTCAAGGCCAGGTTGGATGGGACTCTGAGCAACCTGGTCTAGTTAAGCATGTCCCCGCTCACTGAAGGTGGGCTGGGCTAGCCGACCTATCTTCCAACCCAAAGCATTCTATGATTCTATGATTCTGGCTGGAGTCCAGCACTCTCAGTCCACGTTTTGTAGTCCTGCAAATGATTTCTGCTCTGGTCAGCTCAGGAAGCTCCCTGCACAGAGACTTCTGGGCTCCTGGAGATGCTGTGACCCAGGCATCAGCGACCAGAGTCAAGGAAAGACTGGAGAGGTCTGGGGTGGGAGTTGCAGGCAGTAGCAACTGTCAGCTTTCATGGTCCTTCTGTTTGAAGGACTTTGATCAAGTCCCCCTCACTGTCTCCTCTACACCTCTTCATCCTCATTTCCATCCCCGTCGCTTCCCCGTGGACTCAGAAATCAAACTTCATGACTCTCCCATGAAAGGCTCCAAGGGTCAGGGGAAGAACAAGGAGAAGTCCAAGGCACTCAAAGATGATAAGAAAAAGAAGCAACAGTCAGCCCCTGAGCTTCCCGAGAAGAAGAACAAGCAGAAGATTGAAGAACTGAAGGTGAGTGTGTTGGCAGGGGAGGAGACCCTGCCTGCTTGGTGGGAAGCTGGGAGTCTGGCAGGGAGGCAGCCCCAGCCACCTGGTGATCAGAGCAGGACAGATACAACCCTGCCTGAGGCACCTTGCCTATCTGAGGGGTATCTAACCCCAGGTGGGATGTGCCTTGGGACTGCCAGCTTCTCTCCATAGTTTGAAGGAGTCAGCAGTAACAGGCTTTACAGAGAAGGGGTTGTCCTGGAGTAGATTCCTCCTCGGGGCAACTTGGATGTGCCCTGGCTGGAGGGGACAATTTCCCAGCCTGGTTATGGCTGGCCCAGCCAGGACTCAGTGCTGGGATGAGCTCTGGTTCAGTGTACTGGCCAGTGGTGTTTACTAGGATTGATGTAGTCTGTGATTCTGCGGCTCAAAAGGGGTTTGAACCTGGGTCTTGAGCAGAGTGGGGACAGCTGCCTCGCCCATTCAGCTGAGCTTCCCTCTTGTATGGTGTCAGAGGTGCTTGTGGCATCAAGGTCCAACCCAATGGCCCTGGAGATTCTTTCCCTTCCTAGAGAACCTTTCCCTTCCTAGAGAACTGAGCACTGGGAGCCGAGGTGTCCATGTTCCCTCTGAATTGACTTGGGTAGTCACCATACCTTTTCCTCACCTTTTTCTTCTTTTCTTTTTTCTCCTTTTCTTTTCTTTTCTTTTCTTTTCTTTTCTTTTCTTTTCTTTTCTTTTCTTTTCTTTTCTTTTCTTTTCTTTTCTTTTCTTTTCTTTTCTTTTCTTTTCTTTTCTTTTCTTTTCTTTTCTTTTCTTTTCTTTTCTTTTCTTTTCTTTTCTTTTCTTTTCTTTTCTTTTCTTTTCTTTTCTTTTCTTTTCTTTTCTTTTCTTTTCTTTTCTTTTCTTTTCTTTTCTTTTCTTTTCTTTTCTTTTCTTTTCTTTTCTTTTCTTTTCTTTTCTTTTCTTTTCTTTTCTTTGCCTTGCCTTGCCTTGCCTTGCCTTGCCTTGCCTTGCCTTGCCTTGCCTTGCCTTGCCTTGCCTTTTTTACCTAATTCCCCTCCTTTAACTTTCTGCCATCTCAGGTCTTCAACAAAGAGCTGGAAACAGAGTTTGATAACTTTGAGGACTGGCTGCACACCTTCAACCTGCTCCGTGGGAAGATTGGGGACAATGACGACAATGCAACAGAAGAAGAGCGGATAGTGGGAAGGTTCAAGGTGAGTTTGGTTGCTGAGTTGTTCCAGGGCAGGGGCAGCTTGGGGAGCCCTTGCCAACAGGTTTCTCTGCTGAAGCTCTTTAGCAGGAAGAGGTTGGATGCAGTAGAAACCAGTCTGCATTGATTCAGCTGCAGGCACCTTGCAGGGAAGGAAAGTCTCCAAGCATAGCCCCAGAAACGAGATAGCTTCAAAAAGCACATCCACAGAAGAGATGATCTGCAAGCGAGCAGATCCTTGATCATTCTTACAGAAGGCCAATGGAAAAGCAGGCCTTCTTTCTTGCCCACTGTGGAAATAAGTATTGCCCTGGGTTATCTTTTGCACCCATACCAGTCACCTGGTCTCACGGCCATGTTGCACCATTGCCAGGATGCAGGCAATGTAGGATCTGTCAGCTACAAGATTCTTGGACAAGAATGTTTTCGAAGGTGGGATCCTGGCCATGTGAAGCCTGTTGATGCCGGTTTTGCCCTTTGCTTAGCAGAGGAGATGAGCAGGCCATTTCCCACTTTAGGTAGGATCAGATGTTTATGGAGCCTAGAAATCAGCAGTTTCATGTGGTAGTTCCCAGATTTTCCAGCCCATCCCTGGTCAATCCTTTTATTCCCATTGCTTTTGTCCTCCTGTCAGTTTTATTCTTGGAAATCTCTGTCCTTGCTGGTGTGATTCATCTGCAGGCCTCCTTCCCTTTGTCCAATTTCTCTGCTCACGGTTACAACCCCTGTAGAGGTGCTTGTGTGGTGGAGGAACTTTCTAGATCTGGCCAGTCTGCTCCAGCGTGTGGCTAGAAACAAGGATGTTGTCTGGGTCCTCAGGAAGGGTGGTTTGGGATGGGTCTGCCCACCCTGAACCCCTGGGCAGTAGGACTCTTATCGGGCTGTGCACTTCCTCGCACCAGGGCTCCATGTGTGTCTACAAAGTGCCGCTCCCTGATGATATCACCAAGGAGGCAGGATATGACCCCAACTTCGGCATGTTCCAGGGGATCCCCAGCAATGACCCCATCAATGTGCTGGTCCGAGTCTATATTGTGCGGGTGAGTATAGCTGTGTGGGGTGGCAAGGGGTGATCCTGCGCTTCCTGCCACGACGCACACCCAGGAGCTGGTCCCAAAGCTGTAGGGATGTTGGCTTTTGTCGCTCACTGCATCAAGGCCAAGGATGCAGCACTAAGGTTGAAGCAACTCATTTGTGGGGGCTTGAATGGTGTCTCCATAGCTGTGTGCTCGAAGAAATGGGAGCAAGCCAGATCTAAGATCCTGCCAGATCCGGAGACCTTTCTTCTGATATGTAGGATGGACCAGCGTGTCTGTCCTAGTGCTTGACTCAAGTGGAATAATTTGGATCAGCCTTGACTGCAAGGTGGTTGTTCCTTAGATAGCCATGACACCACAGACGCTTCACTGCAGAACTGAATGGGAGCTGGCAGGGTCTAGTAGACCTGGCTGAAGGTCATGGCTTCTCCTTGAACACATACTGGGCTAACACACGTTTCTTTCTATGGACCATGCTCTGGAAACAGTCCTTTCCTGTCCTCTAAACTGGTCATCCTTGTGTCCCCAAGCATGTGAGTGAGGTAGCATAGTCAGGCACTTGAGAGGGATCTCAGTCCTGCTCAAAGCACCTGGGTTGCCTTGTGCTGGTGTTTTACAAATGCAGCCTGCTTTTGGCTACATTTCTCACTAGCCTGATTCTCCATCCAGTGCTGCATCCCATTGGCCAGTGGGGTAACATGTCTCCCATCCATCACCAACAGACTGAGGCTGCAATAGGAGTCACCAGCCTGGTCAGCATCACCAGCAACCAGGACTGGCTGAACGTGTCCTGATGTGGGCATGTGCTGTTTTGTGCTGTGGTGGACGATGGAACCGGAGAGGCAGGGGATACTCAACCCCTTCATGGGCAGAAGCCAGAAGCCCTTGGCCCAGAAGTAGTGAAGGAAGAGAACAAGAGGGGAAGAGGACAGTCTTCTTGACATCTTGGTCAGGTTTTTGCCGTGGATGTCTCTTTAGAGGAGCCTGTTTCTTTCCACTGATGAAAGAGATGCCAAAGGAGACTGTGGTTGTGTTTCTCTGAGGGAACAGGGCCAGCCCCCACCCCTCCCCAGACCAGGACAGGGAATAACACCAGGCGGGATTTACTCTCAATTTAAACCAAGACACTCTGTTTAGGTGGACCAAAGTGCTTAGCCACATGCCTATGGCCAGGGCCAGATGCTCTCAGGGATGGAGAATGGGGCCTGAATTTTTCACTACTGTGGACAGCACTGATATATCTCATCGGTTCTCTACAGGCCACGGACCTTCACCCAGCTGACATCAATGGGAAAGCCGACCCCTATATTGCCATCAAACTGGGGAAGACGGACATCAAAGACAAGGAGAACTACATCTCCAAGCAGCTGAACCCTGTCTTTGGAAAGTGAGTTGCCCCAGCCGTGTCACCTGTCTGCCCCTGGAATTGGTGAGCTAAGCCTGAGCCAAGCTTCCCAGCCCTTGGACCTGCACCCTAGCCATCCCACAGCCGCTGCTTGGGCTCAAAAGATGGGACCCATCACACAGAACTTTCCTTGCAAGCAGTGTAGGCATCTTCGTTTCAGCCATCCGTCCTTGTTTGCCAACTGTATGGTCAATATAGTAAAGGATGTTTAAGAGACGCCCATATCTGATCAAGATGAAGTACCTACCTTAGGAATCATTAGGCCTAAACTCGGGTGAGAATGTGGCCTAGCTCCAGTGACACACAAACTTAGTTTCAGGGCTAGTGAGACATCCAGGTCAAGCAATCACCCCATGCCACCTCCTGTCTGGGTCTGTAACAGCCCGTGCAGCAGTTTAGTTAAAACCCTCTACCTCGAACGCCCTGCCATGGTAAATGCAAATTAAACACTGTCCACAGGCTGGAGCAGACCCACCTCACCCATGTGCCTGTCTTGAGTAGCAGCCAAACCCTTCAACAGCTTTTCTCTTTCCCCTCGCCTGCTTTCCCCTGGCCTAGATCCTTCGACATCGAGGCCACCTTCCCCATGGAGTCCATGCTGACAGTGGCGGTGTATGACTGGGACTTGGTGGGGACTGACGACCTCATTGGAGAGACCAAGATTGATCTGGAGAACCGCTACTACAGCAAGCACCGAGCTACTTGTGGGGTGTCACAGACTTACTCCATGTACGAGCAAAGCTTTCTCTGCCCAGCCTTCCACCTGGACCCATGCCTGTCTCTTCTTCCACACCAAACCTTGATCTTCTGCAGAAATCCCCCTCCTTGATTGCCTGCTAACGAAGGAGTCTGTGTTGTACCCTCGCTCTTCAGACAAGTTTTGTGACAACAGCAGAGCAGCAGGGGAGCCCAGGGCAGGGAGGAAGGGCCTGAGGGTCACTGGTGGGACTGGGTGGAGGGGTGAGGCCAGAGATGAACTAGAAGCAGGACCAAAGGAGCGATGCTGAGCATCAGGAGACAAGTAGGGTGTGCTGGGAATTTCAGGTATGAATCAGCACAGAGGTCCTGTGTAGCCTGCTGTAGGTGTCCCTGCTTCGGCAGGGGAGGTTGGACTAGATGACCCACAGAGGTCCCTTCCAACCCCAAACTGTGATTCTGTGATTGTGTAAAGGGGTTGGGGTGGAAGGGTGTTAACAAAGTGTAGAGAGGGACCTGGTCTCCTCTGAAGGTTCACATTTGCTGCCTCAGATCCTTTCCCTGTGAATCCTGGGTCCTTCATGGAAGTAGCATTTATTTTGCTGGCAGAGGGGAACAAAATTGCTTTTTCCTCCAGATCTTGCTACTACTTCACTGACCTTGCCCTCCTGTTCGCAGACATGGTTATAACACCTGGCGTGACCCCATGAAGCCCTCCCAAATCCTGTCCAAGCTGTGCAAAGAGGGCAAGGTGGATGGGCCACACTTTGGACCAGGAGGAAGAGTGAAAGTTGCCAACAGGGTCTTCACCGGCCCCACGGAGATTGAGGATGAAAATGGTACCTGCCCTGTGGGATGAAGGTTGTGGAGGGGAGCAAGGGTCTGGGGTGTCCCCTCTTCATCCAGCATTGGAGACAGATGTAGTGGCCTCATCGCCTTAAAGCAGCACTGCAATCACACTCCATCCACCACCTTAAATGGACCTTCCAGTGTGTGATCAGTTAGACAGTGTCTTTTAGACCACCTGGGCCACTGGGTTGCTCTCAGAGCCACTCACGGGCATCTGTGGCAGAGCATCACCAAAGCCGCCTTTGAAAACTTCCTCCCGGCAGTGTATGCCCAAGGATCAATGAAGAAAGCCCACCCTGGCCTTTCTCAGGTTTAGGAAGCCATTCTCCATCTAACTGCTTCCCCTAATAATGGTTGTGTCCCAACGCACTCACTTGTGCTCAAGAAAGATGAAGGCAGGCCAGGAGGGGTGCAAAAGAGAAGGAGAACGTTGTCAATGAATACAGAGCTTGTTCAGCTTAGGAAAATGCAGACTGGCAGGGGACCTGGACCTTCTGTAAATCACCAGGGTTAGAGAGAGGAGGAAGAGGGGAGTTGGGAAGTGCTGGCTGAAGGATGAAGTGTATACAAGGCAACGGAGAGGAGTAGCTAGTAGGCAGTTCTGCGCCCTTGGAGTGGGGATAGAGGAGCAGGGTTGTTTGCTGTCCCTGGTGTCCTCTGTCCAGTTCTCCAAGCTGAGCCCAGCTTTGCCCACGCAGGTCAGAAGAAGCAGACAGATGAACACCTGGCCCTGACTGTGCTGCGCCACTGGGAAGACATCCCACGGGCAGGCTGCAAGCTGGTCCCCGAGCACGTGGAGACGCGTCCGCTGCTGAACACTGACAAACCGGGCATC